CTTGCCCCCACGTCCAGATTTCGCACCGCGACCCCAACCGGTACCTCCTTGTTGGTCGTTGGAGTCGTCGTCTTTCTTTGCACCGCGTCCAGCACCACCGAAGCCACGTCCTCTGCCACGTCGGCTCCCTTGCATCCCGTAGCCGCTGCTGCCGTCGTCTCCACCCCTCAGTTGGCGGCGACGGAAGTCCTCCTCCAGAATCTTCGTCCGCACCCACTCGAGCGTCCACAAGCTCTGGTTCTGCGGCAGGCTCAATCCGCTCGTAAATTGAAGCCACGATTCTGGCAGCAGCGAGAGCATCTTCAAGCACTTGGTCTGCTCCGGGTAGGTGATTCCCGCGGTCGCCAACTTCGCGTAGAGGTCGCGCATCTTGTCCAGGACTGGTTGCACCGGCTCTCCCTCGCTCAGGCGCAACGCGGACAGCTCCCTCTCCAGCATCAACGTTGCGACAACGGAGGTCGGGGCGTGCAGCTCCTTCAACACGGTCCACGCCTTCGGACCGCATTCAACCTCCGGCAGCAGGTGCATGACGTGGTGACGCTGGTTCAGCTCCAAACTCTGCGACATCAAATAGTAGCCAGCCGAGGAGCGCTCGTCCCAATCTTCCTGCAGCGTGGGGTCACTCGGTCTAGGCTCCTCCCCAATCATTAGTTTCAGCAAACCGATCTGACGGAAATATAATTGCATTTTCCAGGCCCAATCATCATAGCCCTCACCATTGAACTTCTCGACGGTGAAATTCTTCAGCACCTCCTTGACAAGCGAGCCCTGGTTTGTTCGCGCTCCCCTTGGCGCTGAAAGACCAGAATCTTGGCTGCCGCTACGATCTTGGGCTGAAGATTCACCAGCTCCCGCCGAGGTGTTGCCCGCCATAGCTACCTATAACGAGGATCACTATAACGCAGCTCTGATACCAGCTTGTTGGTGTAAGGGCCTAATAAACTCAAGCTATTAGGACTTAATCAAACTTAAAACCTCTCCTCGGGGTCACCTCCAAGGGTCCCTGGGTGCCTGGTACAAGACCAGCCCCTATCCTCGGGTCCGAGTTTGTAGAGAGAGGGATCAAGAAGGACTTAGTCAAAACAGCAAGAGTACCTTGAACGTCGCGCAGCGTGCCGTGCAGACCGTCGATCGGATTAAGCTGAGAATTCGCTATATCGAAGCTCGCTCCAAGAGCTTTAAAATGAGCCAAGTTGCCTCGCGAAAAGTTCTGCCATTACTAAGTTATGGCTCGGACAGCGTTTGCCTAGCGTTGGAGTGCTAGCATACTAGCGTTGACTCGGGTAGCATTCCGCCGTCGAATAGCGCAGAAACGAAATTCCAGCGAGGAAGGAATTCGCTTGAATCAATTTGACTATATTCAGGTACAAACAGAGAAGGATTAAATAGTTCTAGCTAGCAAGGACCTTGGGAATCAACCTGGGAACAACCAGGGATGATCCCAAATAATTCCAAGCAACAGAACCAACCTGGCTGGACAAAATAGCAGGTGGTAGGTTGGTAAACAACCTCTGGTTCTGTTTTTCCAACCTGGGAAAACAACAACCAGGTTCAGGTTCTAAAAACAGAACCTGTTTTGTCTTTGCCCAACCAGCCAAATGCTGGTTCCGCTGGTTTCCCCTGGCCTTGTAGCATGCAGATACAGACAAACAACATCCAACCTTCACCTAAATTGTACCCCTATAGTGCCTTCCCTGCTACACTATAGTTAACCAAACAAAACAGTACAATTTCGAGTTGGATAGAACTGAATCTGCGCAATCAACTCAACCGAACTGCAAAGCTTCCATCTTGGGTTCCTTTGCGAGCTCGTCCTTTCTGCTTGCACTGTTCATAGCGCGTACAATGTTGTGCCGAAGCGCACATTGCGCGAGTACCTGCAAATGCATCAAGCAAAAAATGCGAAAGCAAACAAACACACGAACACACCATTCACACGCAAATGCATTCGCACACGCATACTCGTACAAACAGACGGCAGGATGTCGTGCAATGTGCATTTGCACCCAACACCTACACCAACTGAAATGTTACACTACACTTTGTAATGTAACTATCTTCAATATCTTGAGGTGTAGCCTTTTGGCGAGCTTCGAAAAACACTTGAAGCTTGAACCAAGGCTCGGGTTCTTCATCACAAAACTCATCCTTGAGTTCTTGATGGGTCTGCTGCACACACCTGCGACACGCCGAACGTTCGACAAGCGACAAAATAGAAACCGCGCACGACAAAATAGAAACCGCGCGGGACACACAAAATGACCGCGTTGCACGCGACTAGCGATAATTCGCTATTGACTTGACACACACACTCGACACCATGACCCATCATTCACACACCATTATAAGCATGAAATATATATACATATTTCATGCACTCATACCACTCCATGCACACACGCATGCACGCACACGCACACGGACAACAAGCCGAGTGCAAACTGTAGGGTTGCACCAACAGGGAATCGGGTGAACTTGGCTTGCAAGCACGTTGGGCAGCCAAGCACCTCATCGGGCTCCCCCTTCACACGTATGCCAGCAACCATCTCATTCTTCACTAGCTGCTGCAAGATGGGTAGGGCCACATGCCCCATGCGCCGATGCAAAGTGAGCCAGTCACACTCCCCCGTAGCCGAAGTCGGATTGGAGAATGCCGCGCTCGCAATAGCGCCCCACATACTCTCGCCGTTGTCTTCCTTCGCTGCTGCCTCGGGGTTCTCCTCACCCTTGTGCTGCTTCTTGGCTGCTGCACCACTCTCCTTATGGTCACACAGCTTGCTGGTCACTCCAGGTTTGCCCTTCTTGGGCTCCTTCTCCTTAGCGCGACCGTCCGCGCTATCGCCGCTACCAACCGCTTCGCTCTTGGTGCTGACGCTTGCTGCCACTTGCCTCTCCTTAGGCATGGGGACCACAGGGATCTGCCACATCTTGTTGTAGACATCCCTGTCCTCATGAAGGTCCCAAAGAATCCGGTCGCCAATCCTCGCGGTGTAGGTCTTGGCTCCCTTCGAGTTCGTGTCCATGCCGGCCTTTGCCAACCGCCGCACGGAAATCAGGTTCGCAGCAAGGCTGGGCACCCAAAGCACGTTCTTGAGGCCCACCATCTTTCCATCAGCACCCTTGAACATGGCCTTGCCCATGCCTTTCACCTCTGCTCGCTGCCCCAAAGCCGATGTGACATGCTTCACCGGTGACGGCTCAAGTTCGGTGAGCAAGTCGGGGCGAGGTGTCATGCTATAGGTAGCGCCGCTGTCGATCACCCAATAGTCCAGGGGGTGTAGGGTCACCTTCCCCACAGCTGCTGGCTCCTCAAGGTCTTCATCCTTCTCTGGACCAGCTGGTACTTGCGTCGACACGAAGTAGAATAGACCCGGGTACCGATCGTCGCTCGGGTCCTTGTCGTTGTCTCCATTCTTCATATTCGCGGCTCCACCTCCGCGACCGCCACGGCCTCCACGGCCTCTTCCTCTCCCTCCTCCTGCTCCTCTACCCTCTTAATCTTGAGCAGGGGGTCCATCCTTCAGGGAGCTTGTAGCAATCGCGCCACATGTGTCCGGTCTTATGACAATAATGGCACTCGCCATCGAATCGGCCGCAACCGTGCCCGTAGCTCTTGTCGTCGCTACCGTATCCGCCACTCACGCGGCCTCCGCCAGAGTTGCTGCCACCAAACCTTCCTCCCCCTCGTCCTCTGCCTCTTCCTCGGCCATATCCACTGCGGAGATAACTCTAGTAACGGGAGCTAGACTACGGGCTAGGCACGTGTGCTCGTGTGATCTCGCTACGTGACGCTGAGGATCTTCCTCAGTATCGTCGCCGTCCTCAACCTGAACCTGATGCAGCTCGACATGAAGAACGCCTTCCTGCAGAGCAAGCTCGACCGGGTGTTGTACATGTCGCAGCCGGACTGTTGGGTGCAAATTTACATTGCACGACATCCTGCCGTCTGTTTGTACGAGTATGCGTGTGCGAATGCATTTGGGTGTGAATGGAATGTTCGTGTGTTTGTTTGCTTTCGCAATTTTCGCTTGATGCATTTGCAGGTACTCGCGCAATGTGCGCTTCGGCACAACATTGTACGCGCTATGAACAGTGCAAGCAGAAAGGACGAGCTCGCAAAGGAACCCAAGATGGAAGCTTTGCAGTTCGGTTGAGTTGATTGCGCAGATTCAGTTCTATCCAACTCGGAATTGTACTGTTTTGTTTGGTTAACTATAGTGTAGCAGGGAAGGCACTATAGGGGTACAATTTAGGTGAAGGTTGGATGTTGTTTGTCTGTATCTGCATGCTACAAGGCCAGGGGAAACCAGCGGAACCAGCATTTGGCTGGTTAGGCAAAGACAAAACAGGTTCTGTTTTTAGAACCTGAACCTGGTTGTTGTTTTCCCAGGTTGGAAAAACAGAACCAGAGGTTGTTTACCAACCTACCACCTGCTATTTTGTCCAGCCAGGTTGGTTCTGTTGCTTGGAATTATTTGGGATCATCCCTGGTTGTTCCCAGGTTGATTCCCAAGGTCCTTGCTAGCTAGAACTATTTAATCCTTCTCTGTTTGTACCTGAATATAGTCAAATTGATTCAAGCGAATTCCTTCATCGCTGGAATTTCGTTTCTGCGCTATTCGACGGCGGAATGCTACCCGAGTCAACGCTAGTATGCTAGCACTCCAACGCTAGGCAAACGCTGTCCGAGCCATAACTTAGTAATGGCAGAACTTTTCGCGAGGCAACTTGGCTCATTTTAAAGCTCTTGGAGCGAGCTTCGATATAGCGAATTCTCAGCTTAATCCGACCGACGGTCTGCACGGCACGCTGCGCGACGTTCAAGGTACTCTTGCTGTTTTGACTAAGTCCTTCTTGATCCCTCTCTCTACAAACTCGGACCCGAGGATAGGGGCTGGTCTTGTACCAGGCACCCAGGGACCCTTGGAGGTGACCCCGAGGAGAGGTTTTAAGTTTGATTAAGTCCTAATAGCTTGAGTTTATTAGGCCCTTACACCAACATGGACTACTTCAATGACGGAACCGGCCGGGTGTGCAAACTGCTTAAGAGTCTGTACGGGCTGAAGCAGTCGCCGCTGCTGTGGTACTTGGCGCTCAACGACGTGCTGGTCGGCGCTGGGTGGAAGAAGAGCCAGGTCGACGAGGCCCTCTACTTCAAGGTCGGCGACGACGGGGCGACTTGCTGGGTGCTGGTCTACGTCGACGACTTGCTCGCCGCCAGCAGCAGCCCCGCGATGCTGAAGGAGCTGAAGGAGCTACTGGAGGCCGCCTTCGAGCTGCGCGAGATCTCGCCGGTGCAGAAGTACCTCGGGCTGGAGATCGTGCGCGACAGGTCGGCGGGGAAGCTGTGGCTGCACCAGCAGGGCTACGCCGACAAGCTGCGTAGGCGCTTCATCGACGAGGAGCAGGGCGGACGGACTCCGAAGACGCCGGTCTCGGTCGACGCCTACGCCGAGCTCACCTTCGATGACGAGGAGGCGCAGGAGCGACAGGAGGAGGAGTACCGGCAGAAGGTCGGCTCGCTGCAGTTCGCGGCGACGACGACGAGGCCGGACATCGCCTTCGCCTGCAGCAAGCTGGGGAGCGGCCTCACGGTGAGAAGCTGTCGTGATAGTAGGTATACTGAGGAGCCATAGCTAGGGTTGACCTAGCTAGGCAAGAGAGAATGAAGCAAAGAGGGTTTGCACTAGCAACAATGGTGGTACAAATAGCTAACCCTAGAAGGGTTGTACTCGCTATAGAGCACCCCACTGCAGGCTAGAGCATAATATTCTGACATACCCCCATAGTCAAAGTGGGGTGTAATCAGCAGAGCAAGCAAAGCAGTACAAGCTCAGGGTGGATCACGATGTCACCACACATTCTGAGCACAAGCAAGAAGCAATAGTTTAAGGTTCAAATTATGAGCAAAGCTAGAGGCAGTTACAGAGGGCAAGTGAGGAGGAGGAGGGCTGGCGAGAGGAGAGTAGATAGGAGGCGACGACTGAAGATGCAGACACACGGGCAACAGACGGCTCTGGTGCGACAACGTGGCTACCGGGAATGAGTGCCCCGGAGTACAGGAGTAACAGGCTCCGCGGCTAATATGCTCGGCAGGAGCAACGGACCCACAGGCGACGGCGCAACCGGCTCTCTGAGCTACCGGGAATAAGTACCCCGGAGTACAGGCGCTGCGTACGACACGACGGCAACCTCCGCTCAACCTCCCCCAACAGTCCCACACCCCTCGACACACACCCTCTGCTTCAAACCCTAGCTAGCTCCACTCCCACGGTACCCCCCTTAAACCCCAAACCCTAGGCTCCCACACACCACCCCCCTCAGCGGCAGCTGTAGCAGAGGGAGACTAGGGAGGAGGAGGAGCAGGGGGAGGAACTCACAACCGACTGTTGGGTGCAAATGCACATTGCACGACATCCTGCCGTCTGTTTGTACGAGTATGCGTGTGCGAATGCATTTGTGTGTGAATGGTGTGTTCGTGTGTTTGTTTGCTTTCGCATTTTTCGCTTGATGCATTTGCAGGTACTCGCGCAATGTGCGCTTCGGCACAACATTGTACGCGCTATGAACAGTGCAAGCAGAAAGGACGAGCTCGCAAAGGAACCCAAGATGGAAGCTTTGCAGTTCGGTTGAGTTGATTGCGCAGATTCAGTTCTATCCAACTCGAAATTGTACTGTTTTGTTTGGTTAACTATAGTGTAGCAGGGAAGGCACTATAGGGGTACAATTTAGGTGAAGGTTGGATGTTGTTTGTCTGTATCTGCATGCTACAAGGCCAGGGGAAACCAGCGGAACCAGCATTTGGCTGGTTGGGCAAAGACAAAACAGGTTCTGTTTTTAGAACCTGAACCTGGTTGTTGTTTTCCCAGGTTGGAAAAACAGAACCAGAGGTTGTTTACCAACCTACCACCTGCTATTTTGTCCAGCCAGGTTGGTTCTTGGAATTATTTGGGATCATCCCTGGTTGTTCCCAGGTTGATTCCCAAGGTCCTTGCTAGCTAGAACTATTTAATCCTTCTCTGTTTGTACCTGAATATAGTCAATTGATTCAAGCGAATTCCTTCCTCGCTGGAATTTCGTTTCTGCGCTATTCGACGGCGGAATGCTACCCGAGTTAACGCTAGTATGCTAGCACTCCAACGCTAGGCAAACGCTGTCCGAGCCATAACTTAGTAATGGCAGAACTTTTCGCGAGGCAACTTGGCTCATTTTAAAGCTCTTGGAGCGAGCTTCGATATAGCGAATTCTCAGCTTAATCCGATCGACGGTCTGCACGGCACGCTGCGCGACGTTCAAGGTGCTCTTGCTGTTTTGACTAAGTCCTTCTTGATCCCTCTCTCTACAAACTCGGACCCGAGGATAGGGGCTGGTCTTGTACCAGGCACCCAGGGACCCTTGGAGGTGACCCCGAGGAGAGGTTTTAAGTTTGATTAAGTCCTAATAGCTTGAGTTTATTAGGCCCTTACACCAACAAGCTGGTATCAGAGCTGCGTTATAGTGATCCTCGTTATAGGTAGCTATGGCGGGCAACACCTCGGCGGGAGCTGGTGAATCTTCAGCCCAAGATCGTAGCGGCAGCCAAGATTCTGGTCTTTCAGCGCCAAGGGGAGCGCGAACAAACCAGGGCTCGCTTGTCAAGGAGGTGCTGAAGAATTTCACCGTCGAGAAGTTCAATGGTGAGGGCTATGATGATTGGGCCTGGAAAATGCAATTATATTTCCGTCAGATCGGTTTGCTGAAACTAATGATTGGGGAGGAGCCTAGACCGAGTGACCCCACGCTGCAGGAAGATTGGGACGAGCGCTCCTCGGCTGGCTACTATTTGATGTCGCAGAGTTTGGAGCTGAACCAGCGTCACCACGTCATGCACCTGCTGCCGGAGGTTGAATGCGGTCCGAAGGCGTGGACCGTGTTGAAGGAGCTGCACGCCCCGACCTCCGTTGTCGCAACGTTGATGCTGGAGAGGGAGCTGTCCGCGTTGCGCCTGAGCGAGGGAGAGCCGGTGCAACCAGTCCTGGACAAGATGCGCGACCTCTACGCGAAGTTGGCGACCGCGGGAATCACCTACCCGGAGCAGACCAAGTGCTTGAAGATGCTCTCGCTGCTGCCGGAATCGTGGCTTCAATTTACGAGCGGATTGAGCCTGCCGCAGAACCAGAGCTTGTGGACGCTCGAGTGGGTGCGGACGAAGATTCTGGAGGAGGACTTCCGTCGCCGCCAACTGAGGGGTGGAGACGACGGCAGCAGCGGCTACGGGATGCAAGGGAGCCGACGTGGCAGAGGACGTGGCTTCGGTGGTGCTGGACGCGGTGCAAAGAAAGACGACGACTCCAACGACCAACAAGGAGGTACCGGTTGGGGTCGCGGTGCGAAATCTGGACGTGGGGGCAAGTCGGGTGCTGGTGGCAAAATGAAAGGGAGTTGCTGGTATTGTGAGAAGGAAGGGCACCCCTGGTTTTTGTGCTATAAGAAACCCGATGGATGGACCCCCCAGAATCGTCACCAGGATGGCGGCGCGCGGAGGAACCAGAAAAACGGCGCCAACATGGTCGCTGATTCGTCCGACAACAACCCGAAGGGCAACGGCGGTGCGGAGAAGAAGAAGGAGCGCACCGCGGGCCAATTCTTCCATGTGGGAGACAAGGGGGAGCAAGGAGACGCCTCTGCCAAAGTTGGAGCAGAGCTGCACCCCCTAGACTATTGGGTGTTGGACACAGGCGCTGCTTGGACGATGACGCCGCGCAAGGACCTGCTGGACGAAGTACGAGCTGCACCGATCAATGAAGTGTGCTCCGCCTCTGGACACATGTTGAAGGTGGCTGGTGCGGGACGAGCTGCGTTTAAGGGAGCGGATGGCAAGCCGGTGGTGCTGCACGACGTTCTCTTCGTCCCCGACCTGAAGGCCAACCTTATCTCCCTCCGTAAGCTTGGCAAGGCTGGGGTGAACACCAACACGGATGGGGCACGCACTTATAAGGGGAAGCTGGGCAATCGGGTGCTTTGGGATCTGCACGAGAGCAAGGACGTGTACAGATCTATGTGGCAGCTGCCGGCCCTGGCGTGGCATGGTGGGGGGCAGGCTGGAGAGGGTCTACATCCCAGGGGGAGTGCAATGCCGTTGGAGGGGTTGGTGTGAAAGTGTCAGCCAGATCTGGGGAGACAGATTGGGCAACGGCACACCGGCGCTTAGGGCATGTGGCAATGCCTTTGCTGAAGCAGCTGGAGAAGGATGGAGCCGTTAAGGGTCTGAAGCTGAACGGACAGCCACCCGATGACAACTGTGAAATCTGTTTGCTTTCAAAGTTCACCCGTTTCCCTTTCCATAGTGTGGCTGGCAGGAGCAAGAAGCCTTTGGAGCTGGTCCACATGGACTTGGTGGGGCCGCTGCCGGTGCAAGGGCACAAGGGGGAGCGGTATTTTCTTACAATTGTGGATGACTGGAGCAGGCTGATGTGGGCGTATCCGCTGAAGCAGAAGGACCACGCCGCCTCCACGATACGGGACGATTGGCTGCCATTCGTGGAGAAGCAGGCGGAGTGTGTAGTGAAGCGGATTAGGACAGACCGGGGTGGTGAGTTCCTTGGAGCTGAAATGACGGCCTGGCTCAAGAAGCAGGGCATCCAGAGAGAGCTGACCACGGCTTATACCCCACAGTCCAATGGTGTAGCAGAACGGGCAAACCGGACCATTCTGGAGACAGCTAGGGCGCTGCTCATAGAATCTGGGCTGAGCAATTCTATGTGGCCTCATGCTGTCCGGCACGCCACTGTCGCTAGGAACAGGGTGCTCACCAAGGTTGGGGATGACTCGTGGGTGCCGTTGGAGAGGTGGCTTGGGAGGAAGCCGCCGGTGGACATGCTGAGGGTGTTCGGTTGCATGGCAGTCGCCCACGTCCCCAAGACCTACCGCAGTAAGTTGGGGGCGAGTGCAATCTGGTGTGTGCATTTGGGGCTGGCTGCTGAGAGCAAGGGATGGCTGCTGTGGGAACCATCCAAGGGTGTGTTGTTTGACAGCAGGGATGTGAAATTCATTGAGGGCATGATGTATGGGAGCTGGGAGAAACAGCCGGAGGCAAGGGTGTCCCAGCAGATGGAGCAGATCACCATGCAGCTAGACCTGACTCCTAGTGTGTGGGAGGAGGGAGAGGAGGCAGCTGCTGGAAATGGTGATGGAGAGAAGGTACAGGAGGCATCTGCTGGTGGAGAAAATGGTGTGGAAACTGGCGGCAGCACTAGTGGAGCTGCTGGACCCGAGGGAGGAGAGAAGCAGCAGGGAAAAACTAAGAAGCCGAAGGGTGTCGTTATGAAGGGATGGGAGACACCCGTCTCCAGGCCAGGACGTACCCGTATGGCTACTAAGAAGCTGACTGCAGGAACTGATGCAGCAGAGCAGCAGCTAGGGACCGAAGAGGCATTGCTGATTCTACCTCATGGCTATGACCCGGATGAGGAGGATGAGCCTGCGTACTGTTTTCTTGCCCCTGCACCAGAGGAACCAGCTAGCATGGAGGAGGCATTAGCTGGACCAGATAGGGACAAGTGGCTGGCTTCTAGGGATGCAGAGTACCAGAGTCTGCTGGAGAATAGGACATGGGATCTGGTGGTGCTGCCTGATGGGAAGAAAGCGATACAATGCA